AGATGGTCCTTTTGAAAGATTGAGATGGAAGACGTAATCATGATCTCAGTTTTTGTTGGTCCTCGCTAATTCAAAGGAACTTCACTGGACTAACGGGGAGTAGATAATAACTGCATTTATATTTTGAGGTGCACCGTTTTTTTTAAATGGCCACTTTCTGCAGCGTAAGCAGGAGCGGCTGATAAAATAGTGAAGCCTTACCGACATCATTCTGTCCCCGACACTGTGGGTGCTGAAAACTGATTCAGCATCTTCTAATCCTCACATTTATCTCTCCCAGCACACAAATAGGTGCTTTCAGATGGAATCTTAATGCCTCGGTATGGGATAAAAAATAAAATCACTACAATAATTCTCTGAAAAACTGGAGACAAACTTGAGTCAAAATGTTAACAACCCTGAGTATTTCACCCAGTACATAAAAAACTATGGAGACATCAGCTTCTAAATCACCAAATAAAACCGTAGTCTCTGGGGATGATGGCAGATGTTCGCCATCAGCAACCAGCGAGTGTCTTCACATCTCAGCAATCATCTAAAGACAATGTCAATGTTATAACTGCGGTTTAACTTGCTTCTACAACGTGATGACCACAGTATAAATCAGATCGCAGCCTTACTATCAAGAAAATGACATTTACTTTAAGGTAAAATTTAGATTTATTTCCCAAATTGTTGGGACATTGCTTTACTGTTAAACTTCCAACTATTTGACCCTGTAGGAGTAGAACTGATCAGGTAATTATCATAACACATCTAACATGTATTCATCATATGTTATTTATTACCCTTGAGCTGAATAGTTGGAGCAGCAGTGTCGCTGTGGTAACGATTGGTTGTTGTTAGAGTATAACTTTTTGGGGGTATGCATGGAAGTAGGCAACCATGACACCCTCCCTGCGGACACGCCAGTCAAACGATCGGCCCGGTTTTCTGTGATTCCGTCCAAGCCGCTGATTATTTCAACACATGCAAACCCGTTTGTGCAGCACATAAGTCGCACCCCAAAGACGGCGAGCAGCGTGGCGTCTTCTCTAATCCACCTCCACCAGGAAGAGGGCGAACAGGTGCGTTGATGGGTGGGGTATCCTGGTGATTGGGAAGTGGAAAATAGAGGCTGGAGAGGCACTGACTGTGAGCGATGCACGATAGAGGCTGTCAGGTGGACCTGACGTCACCTCGATCAGGAACTACTGCTCTTGCTATTCTCCATGTATGTATGTTAAAAGAACAGATGAGCTACTACTACAAACTCTTTGTTGCGTCTCACGTTTCATCATTATGTTTCTTCCACTTTCTCATCATCCATCTCTAGAATGCTGTTTGACAGCGGATGAAACTTTGATGGTCCATCAAAAGAAACTAGGTCGTCGCAGTAGCAGATGGGAAACCACGAAAGCATAGCTGAGTCGATGATCTTCTCTTCTACCGCCCAAACAAGGCCCCTCGTCCACCATTAATGCAAACCAATGACCGCTTAGATGTGACTGAAATGATGAATGTTCATTTAATACTCAGACACAGACTGTATATGGATTGTTAAGGGTCATACAGTAGTAGTATTGGGTTTTTAATGATCTGATCATGATGTTTCCTTTAGCTCAAAGGTAATACGAGGACTTTCCCTTTGGTGGTCCCCGTAGACCGATGTCCCGTGGGACCTTAGAGAGAAGCCGTCGCAGCGTACTGGAGATTTTGTCCAATTCATCATGGAATTGGAGCCAGCGGCACCAATAACACGCTTTAACAATAACTACATACAACTAGAGAATCTTCTCATATATTGCCTTGCTCACTCACAGTCATTTAACATCTTTGGATTTTGGGAAGTATGTCTCACTCAAGGGGAGATGAGATTGATTGAAAAGATTGGTACCACTCGCCATGTCCGAGACCGTTTAGTAACATATAAACAACACGACTGAACTCTAATGAGCACATTATAACAAGTTAAGCCTTTAAACATATTCAACTTTCCCCTTTATGCTGGGCAGACTGTCACAAAGTCAATGAGAAAATCTATTTGAGCCAGAATGATAAATTAAGGAGGATTTAACCATCTTTAAGCATATTTACACTGCAAACAATATTTAGATGTTAAAAATACATTTTCTATCTCGGTGGGGAGAGGACGGTGCACATGAACTCTTTCCTCTCAAAATGTGAACGCGCTGCAGGCGAGATACGGCTGCAGCAGAGAATGACTGATTCCTAAAAGAAATCAAGGAGAAAGGAAGCTTGGGCTAAAGTCTCACATGTGCCACAATGATTTCAAATGTCGCAGCTAAGTTGAAATGTTTATGGAATTAAAAGAAAAAATGAAATTACGGCGACGTTGTTGTGATGCTGATTCAGCTTTTCTTAACCGAGAGCCCAGCGAGTACATCATGTGTTCACATTGATATCTGAGATAATATGAGTCAGAGGTGAGAACAAGCTGCACGAGCCTGATTCTGAGGATCGTAGGAGGTGTGAGATTGAAAGTGTCAATTCAAATAAGGATACTTCAAAGATATTCACAAGTATCTGATGCGGCTTGGTGACAAGTTGGAGCTGCAAGGTTGAGCAATCTATTTACTGTGTGCATGTTTGTGTGAAGATATTGCTTCATATTTTGTACGGACACTGCAGGTGTTGATGTTCAGTCTCGGCCCATCAGCAGATAAATGTCCGCTGTGGTGGCGCCGCTCTTTCCTCCGCGCTCAACGCTGTGTCCTTGACAGTGAATCTCTGTGAGAAGGCTTCTGTCTTGTGATCATAATCCTGTATTCTTTCTCTTTTCTTTTTCTTTTGTCATGTCCTGACGAAACGTTGACATATTAATACCTTAAGTGTTTTTATGGTAAACACGTTCTGCATCATCGTTTCACCGTCCATCACGTGAGTGATCGCTGGATCATTTGTGTTCACTCACTCAACAGAAAAAAGCATTTCCTCAATAGTGGTAATAAAAAAGAAACGTTTGAAAAATGTTGTACCCAGATGCGGCTTGAAACCAAACACGGGTTCTTCACATTATTCGGTGTCACTCGGTGTCGCTCAGTGCCACACGTCGGTTGGTTAATTGCAGCTGTATGAACCCAAAATAAACACTTTCGTTGTGATTTATTTGCAATGAACGAATTAAAATGATGTAAAAAAAGCTCTTTTTGGTGGAGTTTGAATCAATCAGCTGTCAAAGGTGCTCACGAATACATGAATACATGCTGAGTTTGAACTCAATTGTATTTTCTCTATAGGTTTAGCTCTAGTAGCAATGTAGAAATTAATTACATTTCATAATATTAATTAAATTATTCTGCAGCTATTAAATAGTTTTACAGAATCCCATCAATCAGCAAAATTACAAGACTGTGTACTTAAAATGAACTCCATCATTCATTGATTTTAAAAATGAGTGGCAGTTCATCAGCTGAGCGCGTACAAAAGGCCGGATGGAAAGTAGGCCAACTCAAAAAAAACCTTCCCTCGTTTCCCCTTCCTATAGGGACAGAAGCTTTCTTTCGTTCATCCCGTACCTCTCAAACAGTTGCAGTGTTTTATTATCCTCATCCTGAGGCGGCCCCGGGGCGAAGCAGCTGGTGACAGTTGAGCTGGAGACACGAGGCTCACGTGGGGGGGCCACACCGACACAGGACCTGTTCGGTAGCTTGTCCCGTCTAGCAGGCCTAAGGCGGCCGTTGATTCAAACCCTCATTACTGGTGCTTACAGCACCTTTTATCCATTGTTCCAGGTAAGATAGCTGCCTGGGACGGATGTCTGCTGAGCATTGGTACACAAAATACATGGCTGGCACTGAGCGAAGGCCCAGTGTGGGGGTCTGGAACGGCAGGCATCAGAAAGAAGATTTCTCATTGACCCAAAAATCAATCTATCCTTCATGTGAGACAGCTCATCCTTTAAAGAGTCGTGGGGGGCAGGAGGGGGGCACAACTTGAAGAGGTCGCCAGTCAATCACAGAGCCGAAACACGGAAACAGACGCGTTCATGTTCACACCCACGGCTGGATGCAGCAATTAACTCGACCTTTGTGTGGTGAGAGGAAGCCGGAGGATCCGGAATGAAGGCTGGACCGATGCTGACAGGAGGAGAACGCGCAAAGCCCGGAGCCACACTCAGGTCAGACCTCACTGACCAAACACAGATACCGATTTCTCATCAGTTTGTATATTTTAACAATGAACCGATCCAAATCGAAAACAACGAATGTATTCTAAAGAAAAATGTTCCCCTCATCAAAAGAATCCAGACCCCGTCCATGATGTGATGGGACCTTGGTACAGTCTGATTGGATGCTCCCCCAAGGGACTTTGTGTTCCAGGGATCTAAGATGTGCAATTCTCATATCTATGTTTTAATTTGTGTGCTGTCATCTGAAAATGAATCACAAGACAAAAAAAATAAATAAAGAATTATTTATTGCAGGATATCCTACCAACCGTTGCATGAGGTGTTAAAATGTTAAACCAATGAATAGCAATTAATGTCCCATAAATGAACACACATTAACAGTGACAGTAAACTACAGTATTAAGATGTGTTAAGAAGTAATTCTGCAGACATGCACACATAAAGCTTACAGACGTAAACATCAGCACACAACTGCTCACAGGGTACATCCCATAATGCCTGACCCCTGAGCATTTGGCTTGCTTCTACCACCCAGAAGCAAATGAAGCATCAAGCAGATCCAAACTTTCAGTGAGCGCCGCCGCCACTGCTCACTATTCACAGCCAACGTAATAACATCACAGCAGGCCACGTGTGCCGGCTGCTACACAGACCTCCACCCCCACGGAGCTCACGGTGTCCCTGACTGTCCAAGGACAGACAGTCTCCATCAGAGCTGCCTGCTGGTCCCACAGCGAGAAACCACGGAGACTCAAACACGCACGCGCGGCAGCGATAACCGCGGGCTGACATAACCAGCGCCTGTTAAAAGGGACCGAACCAGGACAGAAGCAGAGCAACACACATCATGCGTTGGTAGATATGGAAGCAGACAAGTGAACTGATTAGAATGCATAAGAGCCAATCAAGACGTCCAGTGACAGATGCAGAGCGGCGTGGGGAGCAGTGCGTCCTCTGGGCTTTAGCTTGAACTCGACAGCCTGGAAAGGGAAGGCTTTGTGTTTACTCGTGGTGTTACCGCTCTCACAAGCAATTAAAAAAAGACAAAATAGGAAGCGTTCTTGAACAACTCTTATCTCACGTTGTAGCCTTCAAACACCAGGAACAGAAAGGAAAAAGCCACAATGCTTAACATACTTTGCGTTTAGTTACCTTGCGTTCTGCATTTGAAGAAATGGTTCTAATAGATGTGCATGCAGAGGAGCATCTGGCTGTCTGTTTGAGGTAAATTGTTATAATGGCTAAGCTACCGTAAGCTATTTTATTGAATTTCTATTTATTAAAAGGCTTCGAGTGAACTCGAGTCCCCTTTGGGAAACAGCTGTGTGGCGAGTGAGTACAAAGCATTTATTGTGAAAGGGAAGAACGGAGCACTTCCTTCGTCGAGGTTGAAAGGAGAGATGGAGTTTGTGGTCTTCGTTCAGACTACGAGCCAAGACCACAAAGCGGTTGTTGTGCACCGTATTGATCGTTTTCAATATGTCCAACGTGATTGGTTTATGCCACTGTTTATTTTGCTGCATGATATTTTGTCTGTGTTAAAGTGCTCATTATAAAAAAAAAACTCACATATATAAAAAGGCAAATCAATTGCTAAATTGCCCAGTTGCTAAATGCCCTCAAAGTTTGCAGCCATGTTGTGGTTCCCAAATCTGTGTGAGTGTGTAATGTTCACCATTCATCACCCAACACATTGATACTAATATTTACTATTATCTAGATCTATTTAACTAATGAAAACACATTTTTACACAACGTGTCAGACCTTGTTTTCACTGTAATTTCACCTTGAGCTCTAATGGTGTGAGATGTATGAGTACAGCCGATCCGTGTTGTGAGGCTACATTATATTTCTGTCTGAGTGCAGAGAGTACATCCGTATGCAGCTGGATGCCTCTGTCAAGCCTAACGAGCATGCACAAAATAAGCAGATTACCAGGCCTCAGTCTCTTCGGATGACATGGAAATCAGCAGAGGGGGAAGAATTTATGTGCATAGCTTTCAGGAGACTATGGACCTTCTCACAGCCGACATGGAATTGAAAGTGGTCGTCGCGTCAAGGCATCTGATCACTGCGTGTTCGCTCGTAGGAATGGATATTCCAACAGCGGACTCAAGTTTGTCAGAATTGCGACATGATCCAAACCTTTTGGGATCGACAAGTGTTCAAGCTTGACTGAGGAATTTGGGGTAAATGGTGGGCGTAGATAATAAATACAGAGGAATATGTATTTGTTGTTTTCTGAAGCAGCCGTCACTACTAGCAGAGAGTCTCCATGTAACACGGGCGTTAAACCACCGGTGTGGTCTATGAAGTCAGGGTATTAACCGTGTTCACTAACTCTGGCACAGGACCCATCCAAAAGGTAGCATACATTTTAAAAGCTCTCCCCCCCGGTATTTGAAGTACTTTTAAGCTGTTGTACACCCCCACGCTTTGGTTGCCAAACTGAACTTAAACCGCCTTATTGTTGGGTTGTCCATATTTTCTTCATTCATGTCGTTGTTGCATTTCAGACATGGAAAATAGGACGACAGTGAATAATTATTATCCAGAATCTTAGGGTGCCAAAAATCTGGAACAACTGAAATTAAAGCCTTTAGTGTGGATGCCAGAATGTCTCATTTCCCCATCAGAGTAAAAACAGCACAGCGCCAAACAACAAACAAAATGTTTCCATCAGAATACTTAATGAGGCTTTTCTTATGTTTGCACACAGGCTCCTGCCACAGCCAGAGGACGAGGGGCTTTGTGCATTTCGGAAGAAGGAAGTGGACTTTCACCGGCTCGGGGAGAATTTTAACAAGAAAAGGACTTGCTGAATGTTTCATACACTTAATTCTGCAGCCGTCACACCATTCTGGACTGGAAGGCAATCTTGCCAGACCAGTTCAGAGGGAGCAGAGAGAGCAGCTCTGTCCAAATCAACGATGTGGTTGTCGTTTAATACATTGTTAGTAGTACTTTTGATAGTTTGTGTAAAAGATCTTCTTTTAGTTAGTTTGTCCACAAGCGCAACACGACCGCACATTGAGGAAACGGTAGATTAAATTTTCGTAAGAGCCTATACACTGAAAATTGTTGCTAAATTAAAATAATCAGAAAAAGTCAGAAAATCTTTAAATAACGTTCCATCCGTTATATTGCTTGAGAAATAAATAGAAATGCACAAGGATTTAAACATCGTAACAATGAAAAAACAAAAAGTTATCAGCTTGGTCGGTTTTGTTTCAGCCTCTTAGCAAATATCGACTATGGTTCTTGGATGTTATCCGATAAAATTGCTGGGGGGCAACAGTCAATCAGCCCCCCTTGGCATCAAATTTGAGTCGAGATTTGAACTGTTGTGAATTATATGCAGCACATGTTCATCACACCTGAGACGTGATCTGGATCATAAGGCTGGAAGGTATTTCCTTCACAGTTTAGAATCACATTTGTTCATGAAAAACAAATTGTATCTGTTTCCTTGTGGATTCCCATTCTTTGCTCACTGTCATTTCCAAAAGACTTCATCTTTTGTTGTTTTCTTGAAATCAATTTCTATTTAAAACCGGTGTTTTAAACAAAACCCTGTGACCTTTTCACCTACACTGAGCATGTGGGTGTTGACGTAAATAGAAAGTAAAGTTAGGTACTCTTTCAAAATCAAAGGTTGGGCTTGATTCTTAAGATCTTGCTCTATAATCTTTTTTGTATTCTCATACAGCGGCAGATAACGTGGAAAAACACGTTACACAGCTTCAGATTTTCTCTCTCACACGCAGCAGGTTTACTTTAAAATGAAGTAATAAGAAAATAAATGTCCTGGTAAATGGAAACACAGTGGGGATAGAACCTTAGATGGTCTCTAAGTTTCACACAATGCTGCCACTATAATTTCTTTCAAAGAACATTGCGAGGGAGGGAGGTGAGGCCGAGACTATGACTGAAGAGTGCAGTAATTGCAGCACTTTAGAGCCGCACTGAGATGGAGTAATAAAGAGCATTATGTCTAATTCGCAGTTAGAACAAACACATGCACACAGATGTTATAGCTCTCTGGGAGAATGAGTCGGCCAAGAGGAGGTGAAGCTAATGAACGGCAAACAAAGGGATGGAGGGATTGCAAACGACTGTGGAGTGGAGGAAGCAGAAGAAGAAGAGGAGATAAAGTGGAGGTGAAGGGATAGACGCTGAATATCACAGCAGGGTGGAAAAAGGAAAGTTATTTGATAGAGGAGAGCGTCGTCTATCCTGTCAGGTTTTACTCCTTCTGTTCCTTTGTGGCTTCAAAGTCAGCAAGTTAAAACGAAGCGAGCGGGGGAGGAAGATGCAGGAGAAACAAGGAGAGCTGGAAGAGGAAGGCGGAAAGGTTAGAGTTGTAATTAACCTCCGGAGTCAGCATTGCTCCAGAATAAACATCCCAAACTTTCTGTAACACAACAGTTTGGTTTAACCTTCTGTGCACCTTGCTCCTCACCTATAAAACACCAGTCTGTTCCAGAGCTCAAGGTTTCTATTTTCTTTCCTGTTTTGGAGGTCCACATTTTATTTATTTATTTAACAGCTCTCCAGAATGATCATTTTTGTGTACCTTTCTTGAACATGCAATATGCGTTTTTATTTTTGGGGTACTTTTGAGTAAGGATGGATGCATTGTTGCTGTATGTACATTCCCAAAAGACAAGCTAGCGACACTTTTCATTGTTATCTCTATACTTTTTTTAACTAGATTAATTACCGCTACAGGAGACCGAATTATTTGCCAACGCAAATTAGGTTGTGCAGCTTCAGTTATTTTTATCTGATGTGAATTTCCATCGACTTGTGGGCAATCCTTTTCCTGTAAAGTGATTTTCTGACCTGGCGGCAACTTCTGAGGCTGAAAAATGCAGCTAAAAGGCCTTTAGCCGGCATTCTTTCAAATGACCATGAGGGGGCGACCTTTCCGGTGTACGTTTCCGGTTCACGCGTCCGGCTTGATGCTGTGCCGGACAAGGCATTGAAGATCCTCATTAGCATTTAAAGGAACAGGCACTCAAAACAGGTCACTCTGTGGGCAGCTGTTTTAGGGTAAAAAGGGTGCTGTTTTAAATGATCCATGTGGTATTTTGACCAAAGCATGTTACAGATATTTGATTAAGACACCAAGGAACCATTTCAACTTGTGGTCAAATGGGCATACGATTGGTCCTTTAATCAGCGTCTGGCTGTACTTAGCTCAACTAACCAATGGCCGACGTCTTTGGTTGTATCTGAAGAACACGATACGTGATGGCATAGCTTATACCAATAAAACCCTCACTTTGTCCGATGACATGAGTACCTGGTCAGGACGGGAATCCCCCCGTGTTGGTAAGACTGTGCAGCCTGCTGGACAAGTCTGAATGCAACAACAATTCCATGTAATGTGCAGCTTATCCAAAACCCTACGAAAACCTGCTGTGGAGTCACAGAGGGCTTTTAAGCAGCCACGGCAGAGAGCAGTTACCCACCACGTATCCCACATGCTGACATCACTGAGCAAAAGGGTGTACAAAGAATCCTTTAAACACAAGGGTATGAATTTATATGTGACTCCTTTACAGCTTCTCTGCTCACTATATCCTCCTCCAGGATCCATCGTCCTGCTGCCCACACACACGTGGGCAATCACGCACACTTCCGAGTAGCCTCTGAACACCTTTAAACATTGTTAGGGTCTCAGAGGCGTGAGTGGAGTGGTGTTTTTCATTCATCCGTTTATTTCTTTCTGTGACAATTGTGCTAAAAGCAGCAGTCAGCGCCATCTGTTACTGTTGAGGCTGATAGCTGCTCTAATGGGCTGGGACTAAGGTCCACTCTGCTGACACACACTCACACACACACACTCCTGCCCAACTTAACTGGGGCAGGTTTGGCTCAGGTAGCCTCAGTGCGCACACACACAGATCAGCATGCCTCCATTTCAGTCCGACTAACAAAAAATCCATAGAGTCAATGAAGCAAGCACAGATAATTGAAGCTATTCATAGCGACAGAACTCTTAATTATCTGAAGACAGATGGGTATTTCACTACATGTAACCAACCGTTTGAGCTCTTTCTGTCCGTTCCGATGTGTCCTTGACCGAGACTCTTCCACCCAAATTGTTCCCGTAAGTCGTTCCAACGATGTGTGAATGTCAGTTAGTGCTGATGGGCAGGTATCACCTCGCCTGGTCGGCCTCGCAAAAAAGTGAGGGAACGACGCGTTCGGAAGACTAGAAAGGGGCTGTGCAAGTCCAAGTCCATTTACCGGGTACTTTTAACCATAGCCACATCATTACTGATAACCCAATAGAACAAATGTGAAAGGTGAATGAGATTGTTCTAAAAGCAATACAAACAAATCAGAGCATCCGTTCTCTTCCTTGATTCCCTGGTCAGACTTTTCTTTAGAAATGACCCAGTGTTCTGGAGATGAGAATCAAGGGAAGCCAATCAGAGGCGGAGCAAGGCTGTGAGATACAAATATTGTGCCCGAGTAGGTCTAATCATGTAATTCTGAGTAATAATCAGCCACGTGCTTCCATTTGAAGCAGGGAGAGTATCTATATTTGGAGGAATGGGCTTTTGGACCATTGTGGTTTCAGAATAATAAAGGGCCGTCTGAACAATAGCGTGGCTCCACACCTAACAGCCGATGGCACTATCATTATAAGAAGACCAGGAAAAGCCTTCATTGGAGCGGGGTAACTTATCCAAACCTGCTTCTGCCAAACAAACCATTTCCTCTGGTGCTCACTGGCTCGGTGCCTCAAGCAGAGATTTGGAGTGGGCCATGGAGGTCTGTTAAGCTCGTTTCTAACTCCACACCCCCAGATGTCACCAGGCAGAGACAACTGCAACGGGATTGTAATGACCCCCAAGTGTCTAAAGTGATAAGAGCCATGATAAGAGCTGTTAAATTCTCTAAATGCTGAGAAAAGGTGCTTCAATGCTTATCTTACACAACGAGCATCTTGATGTAGTCGTAAAATGAATGAGAATTATGAATGTGATTAGAAAGTGACAATAATTTAATTTCCTGCAAACATGTAACAAATTGGTAAAAAAAAATGAAAACAATGATATAGTAAATATAACTGTCAATGAACAGATTTTCATTCTCAATAACAACCACCTTTATTAGATTGCTAGATTATTTATTTTAAAAAGTTAAAAAATATATAATATAAATAAATATCCCTGAACCGTTGAATCTACAAGGTAAATACTTATACGACCGGATTGTTCCTACTGACGCAGGGATGATCGTTTCGTGTGACAGCAGCAGGAAGGAAGGCGCTCCGGTTTCTCTCCTTCACACCACGAGCGTAGCGGCCTCCCACCAACCAAGCTCTTTAAATAGTCTGCACGCAAGCGTCTTACATATTTCATCGGGTGACGTTTTAGTTATCTCACGGTTTCGCAACGGCAGACCGCCGTCAGTGACATCTGTTGTTGCAATATGATTATAATAACGTGGTGTTATCATAACACCACGCTGTCTCTTCCTAACTCCTCATGAAGTTTCCTCCCTGTCTCTCCTTGACGTGATGTTTTCCAAGTGAAGGGAATTGACGTTGGGAGGTAAAAAGGTAAACTCAGACCAGAGCAGGACATCACACCCAGAATGCATTTCATTTCAACCTGTTTTCCCACCCAGCAGACACTGAATGAAGGACATCATTTGAGGCTTTTCATAAGACGCGCCTGTGGAGACACTGAGAGCGTTCTACAACTATTTCACAGGGAAACTGTTTTAAAGTGACTTTTAACTATACTTTTTGCCACCGATAACTAGTCTCTCCATCCAGATCCGATTACCTCAAATCTAAACAGATGTAATATGTTATTTTCCATCCTGAATGGCACACCTTTTTATTTATTTCATTGCTTTCATTGTTCTCTGCTGATACGACGCGGCTCCTCAGAGCTCCTGCAGAGGAGGGGAAATGAAACCTGCGTTCCGATTCCTAATCCACTTAGCAGCACAGGCAGGGCTGAAGGGTGAAGAGGTGGGCAGTGTGAACCCGTGCGTAGGACGCAGCAGAGAGATGGAGAAGCAGTTCTCAGCTCTGTGATTTCCGTCCCCTTCTTCAAGGGAGCGTTGAGAAAAAAATCACATTTTACTTTAATG